CCTTCGCATTTCTTTCCGCTTCTCATGTGTCAGGGTGAGTGTGTGTGTGCTCTGTCTGTGTGCGTGCTGCCCCCAAGCCTTGCCACCATCGCATACATCCGCCTTCCGGTTATGCTTTTCATCTTCTCTTTTTGCTGGATCCCGACTACGCTCTCGTCTCGCTCTCAACTTCGTTTTGTTTGCTTATTTGTTTGTTTTGCCTCCACTTTCCACTTTTTCCCTGCTTTCTTTTGTGTCTTCAGCAGTTTCCCACCCCCTGTCTGCCCGACGCCCATCCTCACTGTATAATTTTCTTGGTCGTCTCTGCTTTTCTTTTTTTGCACTTTTATTATTCCGCACACGGCTCAACTTTTCAGCATGTTCTTTTTAGCTTTTTTCGATGGCAGCGCAAAATAAAATGAAATAAAAAATACATTTTTCGTCAAGGACGTTAATTGTTTTGCTTCTATTTTTTTCGTCTGGCCTGTATATGCATTGTGTGTGTGTGTGTGTGTTTACATGGAAAAGTGCAAAAGTGTGTGCAAGAGAGAGAGAGAGAGAGTCCTTTGACTTTTATTTTTGCTTTTATTTGTTGGCGTCGCTTGTTTATGCTGTTTTTTATTGCCGCCTCAATTTGCGTGCACTTTGCGGCTGTTTCTCCTCCTGTTGTAGTATCCTGCGTGTCCTTGCCGTTATTTTGATTTCTTTTTGCACTTTCTTCCGGCTAACACAGACACTTGTGCAGATGCCCACACACACACTCACACACACACACACATAAACACCTCTCCTCTGTTTGGGTGCTGCCATAAGTGGCGTTTAATTTATCAATTTGTCGTTTGCCAAAGGAATTCATTATTTTATTATTTCACTCATTTTTTCTACTAATTCTCTTTCTCTCTAGGACACTCTTTGATCAGTTCGGTTTGCTGTCGGTTGTCTGGGGTTAATCTTTTGTTTATTCGTCATCAACATCATCGTTCCACTTGATGTTGCTTGTTGATTGTCGCCTTCTGATGTTGCTTTGTCATTGGATTCAACAGAAGTTCCATTGGCAGCAATGAAATTACGTTTCTTTTTGCTCAGTGTTTCGGTAATTGAAGTCAAATTGTTTATTGGAATAGATGGAGAATTGATTAAAGGAACAAAGTGCCTGGACAACATTCACTTCTACCTTTTACTTTCATTAGATATCTTACAACTATCTAAATTCGACCTTCAGTCGAGTATATCCTATTCGATGTTCAACGAAAATATGCCAAAATCAATTTAAACCTAACATTAGATATACCCCTTGCTGAGCTGTCACCGCCAAGTTTAATGAACTGCATAAGAATTATGTCCAACTTAAAACATCTTAAAAATCAAAGGAGTGGGTTCGCCCACACTCAACAAAGAAGACAAACTTCTAGATTCAAGGGGAAAATGTGACAAATTGAAAACATAATCCCCCTCAAATCCCAAACAAAGACAGCGGACCCATTCGAAGCTCGCAAGTAATTAAAACACAAGTCTCGTCGAAAGCCAAAATAAGTAATTGCCACCTTGTTCAGCAACTTTCAGAGCTCATCAGTAAACACAAAAATCGTCCAAGGACGATCACAAAAAAGTGATGCAGAAATGAAGAAAAACTCCAACCAAATTGACAAATTAAAAGCGAGTGAAAATTACAAAATAAAAGAAAAGAGTAATATGGAACGAGAAAAATATATCTGAAAAGAAAACAAGCTGGAAGTCCAGTGAACAATTAAGCGAAGGGGGAATGAGAATTAGAGGGCAGAAAAGGTTTCCGGAGGGTGGTCGAGAGAAAAATCGACAAGTTTCGAGCTCGCAATTATGATTATGGGTGCGTCTGCCAGTTCCATCTCCCCACCTTCGACTCCGGGCTCAGCTCCGACTACGGCTACGGCTAGGGCTACGTCTCCAACTCCATCTTGCTCCCTCCCAAATCCCACTTTAATTGTTTTTTCTCTCTCGTTTCTGCTCTTTACCGGGGATGCTGCCCAGTTGCCTGGATGGGAATTCATTAGAGCAGCCCAGGGGGAAAGGAAAAGGGAAAATGCTGGGTCTGGGTCTGGGCCTGGGCCAGTGGTTACCGGTCTGTCCCTAGCCATGGCTACGTCAAAGTGAGTCTAAGACGTTGTCTTGGCTTTTTTTCCCCCAGCAAAAAATTGCAATTTTTTCTATCGACTGCTAGATGGGGTTGGGATTGGGACGATTGTCTCTGACTGGCAGCGTCTCAGTGCTCTGGTCTCCGTACCCTGGCCCTGCCCTGCCCCAGTCTGTGTGCCTGCCGAAGGGGGTGTGGTCGGGTAGCTAGGCAAAAAAAAAGGGATTCGCATCCTGCTTGCTATAAAAAAAGGAGGAGAGAATAAGGACCGCTGCCTGGGCAGGCGGGCAAGCAAACATAAAAATGCGTTTTTGCCTCAGAAGTCCTTTTCTGAAAGGATGCCGAGCAGGAGGGTTGGGACGGTTCCCTAAAACAGAAAGTAATCAACCCACACTCATACAGATATAAAAGGAGAGAGAGAGGGAGAAAGAGGGGGAAAGATAGAGATAGAGAGACACACACTCTGGCACACAGCGACAGAACGAGGACGAGGACGAGGACAGCGTCTCCACCTTCACTCATTTGCACAAAACACACCCACAACTTGGTCCGAGCCGGCGAAACTTTTTTCGCTCCAACATTTTTGGTTTCCACGTGGGGTGGGGACAGGGCGGCACAGGCGGGGCATTGTTCTTGTGCCGCCATGAAAATTAATGAAGAAGTGCCCGACCCATGTTCCAGAGGCACTAAAACTCCGTCGACCCACCCACCGACTGACTGACAGACGGTTCGGTCTTCCTCTCTGGGTTTCTTCTGGTGTCGGAACAAGTCGTCGCTCTGCTTCTAGGGGTGCGGATACGCTCTTGGCTGTGAATTTCCTTTTTTTAAGGAAATCTCTTAACATGAGAGTGCGTCTCGCATAAATTTAGGGATAAAGATGGCAACTTAAAGGTTTAATATTAGTTGGAATGAATAAAAAGATTAATAGCCTTAGGAACAACTTACGGCAGATCAATTTAAAATGACTAAAAGGTGGAAAACTCAGAGATCAAATAAGTCTGTTTGAATCTTCAATCCGCCATTGAAATTTTACCCTCGCCTGGGGTTAAAAAACTCTTTTCAAAATATCGCGCGTCCAAAGACAATATCTGCTAGACGGTCGAAATGTCCATAAAAAAATGTAGAAACAAAAGGCAATGGGAAACCGATTTGGACACACAAACGGCGCATTGGGCAAGGCAAGCGAGTGGGTCGGCCCGCGACTAGAGCTGGCTCTAAGGGTAGTCTCAGAGCACCCCCCACTGACTCACCCAACTGGGGCCACACAGAGGGCAGACACAGGCACACACATACGATCAAGTGGGAGCTGACCCGTTCACATTTAGGGGTGCCACCATCCCTATTTTCGGGAACTGGGGACTGCACTCCAAAGGGGGACCCAGGCCGGCAAATGTCGCTAGATGGCGCCAGACGAGACGCGCGACACCGAACAGCAGCAGCAGCAGCAGCGACAGCAGGACACGGATGGGGCGACGCCTTTGCTTTTAGCTTGATTGCCAAGCCTAGTTAACTGTAAAGTTTTATAACTTTGGGTAGCCCCAGCCCCTCTTGCTCTATGCACCAGCCCACCCACACCCCACACGTCTCCCTCCACGCACACACTTCCTCACAAACACAGACACCTTCGGATGGACTCACCTCGAAAGCGTTCAAATCGGTTGGTTTATAGCACGCGCCAACTGCAGCCCTTGGCCCTCATCCTCTAAGCCTCATCTTTCGTCTCTCTATGGTCCCTCTAAAGCCCTCCCTCTCCACCCTTGACAGCGTCGACGCTGGTCCGACCCTTTTAAAAAGTCGTCAATACTTGGGCTGCCCATCCACATCCCAGTCAAGGACAGGGCGAGAGGCAAGCGTGCAACGGCCTCTGAACTCGCCAGCAGGATGGGATGGGAAGGAGCCATGAACGGACAGGACACGAACCCCGTGCCGTACCCTTACTCATTCCCATTCCCGTTAACGGACGAAGACCAGGACCAGGACGAGGACGAGAGACCAGGCGTCTATCAAATTCCAATTTTGGTCCCTTTTTTCCTGCTCTCTCTCTGTTGGCATTCAAAGTTTATGGCGTCTTTTTAGCGTAAATCCTGCATGGCATTGCCTGGAGTCCGGTCCTGCTGTTGCACCCTTTGGGTACCGTTGCCGGACCACAGCCCCAATCCAATCCAAGCCCAACTCCCTCATGGCAACCTATCGCTGGGGCAGCATCTTCAATATCCTCAGTTGTCTTTTTCTGGTCACCCGTGCAAGCCACACCCAAGCCCACACCCATATTTGGGGCAGCCAAGAGGAACTGGGTACGGGTAAGGGTACACTTTTTATTTCTGTCGTCTCATCATAACGTGTTTGTCGTTGTACCGTTTTTGGGTCCCATATTATTTTCGTTATTTTTTTCCAGATTTTATTTTTAGTGCCTAACCTTTAGACGGAGTTATGGCTTGTTGACCATAAAAAGTGTTAACCTTTCACGTACCCATCCAGAAAACTACCCGTATGATATCGAAATTATATAATACGGCTGGTATCAATTCTATATTATCTCTCAATTTATACTCAGAAGATTCTCCTTGTTTCATTGAAAGTTTGCCCAGACTTTTTGGAGCTTAAGGTAAAGGCTGGGTCAATCGGTGTGAGAAACGTTAATCATTTGTGTCTCTCCAGGGAAATACTAATCAGAATTACTTAGAGCGAATATTGTTCAATATTTATATGCTGCTCAGAGCGTACTCTATTGCAGGTAAGTGCTTCCACTACTGGGTAATTAAAATATTTCCCATTCTGATTGCGAAATCCCACTTTGTTTACATATAAACCCCACAACACAGAGCGATAACCTTTCAGCTAATAATGATTGTGTACTATGTAAGACTGTGAGCAGCAAGCTTAGGCGCAATTATCAGACACTACTGCGGAGCTGAGCTCAGTGCAATTCGGGCATCCAAAGTGTTCACAAGTGATACGAGATTCGCAAATATCGAAAATGAAGGCCGCTAGTCTATGGAGCAGCTTCGCTAGCTTGCTCCTGCTCTGTGTCGTGGTAGGTCAGACATTTTGCCTTGGTTTAATCCCACAAGTGACGTCACATCGTATCAATTGTATTCGCAGATGGGAACAGCTTATCCCAGTGCCGAGGGACCCAGCCAGTGGGTAATGGAGCAGGCCAGGGCGCTGCAAATCGATGACGAGATTCTGGGGGAGTTGTGGCGCACTAAGCAGCCGGTGGTTATCACTAAGCCGGACGCAGAGGGTCAGATGTGCACAGTGACCTACGAGCTATCGGCGGACGGAACGAGCATCTCGCGAACTACAACGAGGGAGGCTCCGCCGGCAAGGCTGGAAACGAATGTGGATGCGGCTAAGCCCAACGAGGAGTGGGAGATACTGCCCAATCGACTGCATCGACAGTTTACCCCGAATCTGGGCGCGGACTTTGGATTTTCATTGGGGAATGGCTTTGGCAGCACCTTTGGCAGCTTCGGAGGCTCGAACGGTTTTCCCCAGTGGCCAACTCATTGGCCATCTTTTAACCTGCCACCCGGGGTAACGCCACGTACAACCACCAAGACCGAGGTGGACGATCAAGGACGCACTGTCACTTCTACTTCTAGCTTCTACAGCGGCCCGCTGCAACCAGGAACTAATCTATTCGAGGCGAAGTTTCCCAGTTCGGCAGCTCCCAATCCCAACCCACTACCTCCCCCACCACTTCTGCCCACACAACCCTTCCCGGGACAAGCGTCGCCACCCAATCGGCCTTCATTCAGCCTTCCCCTTCCTGTTCTGCCTAGTCCCCGTTCGACTACACCTCTGCCCTCACTAGCTCCTGGCTTTGGACTGGATATGTTAACTACCACACCACTCCCGTCTCTCGACGATTTTTTGCAGCAGCAGACGACCCCCAGAGTAGAGGGAAACTCTGATGAGAGAGTTCCGCCTCCACTGCCCACGAGACGACCACTGGCGAATGCTCCACAGGAAGGCGACAAGTCCATCGAGGAATATCTATCGAAGGTGAACCTCAGCCCCTCGGATATATTGTCACAGAATGGAGAAGTGGTCAAGACCATTGTGGATAAGGATGGTCGCGTCCTGAGTGCCAGGTTTGTCCTCAGCACTGTCAAAGAGGAGGATCAAAGGCCTCAGGAGACACAGCCCACAAAGTGAATTCATTTTGACACAGACAAACTTCGTAGGAATTTCCATTCGAGGAAATACTTTGAGCATAAACAAATAAATAATTTTCTAAATAAAAGTGCTTATCAGTAGGGGCTTTGTCCGAATAATATTTTGAGGTGTCTGAGGGAATATTTAGTGGGTCAGCAAGTGACCTCGACATCAAATGATACGGAGATTGTTGGTGCGTAAGGGTGAGCATTAATTTACGATTATCATTTCGATTCCATGATTTGTATTTATAATACAAAAACATCAAGAAAGTGCGAGCTTATGCTAAAAACTTACCTGGAACGCCTTTCGCATCTTTAAATTTAAGCAACTACAAAGCGCTCTAAAATATTCAAAAATTTCAAGATATATAATAATTATTATTCCAAGAAATAAGCATACTAAATAGCTGAAATTTTAAGACTGCTTGCCAAATTAATTAAAAAGCATGAATGATTTTGTTAAACTAGTTTATTACAAACAATTTGTTTTGTTTTGCATTAGCAACTGAGCTGTAAAGAATCGAACGAAAGAAAAAATATAATTTCAACAATCAAAAATCAATAAAAATAGTATTAATAAAATAATAGAAATAAATAGATTAGGCATGTTAACAACATAATTAAAGTGAAAAACATATACATAAATTGCAGCCAAAATAATTCAAGCATAAAGAGATCAAAAATTATAAAAAGAAAACAAAACGAAACAAAACGAAACGGAATGAGAATTTCAATTTCAATTTCAAAGCGAAATTATTAACAAACAAAAAATATTGCATAATTTTGTGCATAACGCATTGGTGTGGCCGAAACGGTTGGTGTTGGTGTTGTAGAGATGTGGTTGTGGGGTTTCTTTTTTGTTCAGAGTAGTGATTGTTGTTCTGACAGAACTCTCTCGCTGTCAGTGTCTCTTTCGCTCGTTAGCATTGCATTAGTTGCGTTACATTTATAAGCCAAGCATGTCAGAGAAAAGAGAAACTAGATTAGTAAAAAATTGTTTGTAAATCAGAAAAAATATCAGATTCGCAATAGATTCGCAGTAGGTTGTCTTAAATCTAGTCGATGCGGTACAATCGAATGGAAAAAGAAGCAAGGCAAAGCCCGTCCGTCGGCATCTGTAACTAATTAAAAGCGTTGGCAAATTCAACAAAGCATAAAAACGATTACAAAGGGAATAAATATTTGAAAAATTTGTGCATTTCGTGTGTGCATAATTTTTGTTTTGCATGATTGTACTTGCTAAATTGTTTTTTGTCCAATAACAAAAAATACATATTTGTTTTTTCGGCACTTTTGTAATTTTTTTAGCAGGTTTTATGTAAGTTATTAATAAACGTTGTAAATCGCCAGTGGCATTCAAATTTAATATGATGTAATATGAAATATATATCAAATTGGATTTCAATGGAATAAAAATAACTGATTTGTTGCCGGAATGGGCGTTGTTTGGGTCATAACAAATAGTCTTTGTCGTCAAAAAAACGAAAAACTATCAATTCGTAAACATGTGATTATCCTAATAGTAGAGAAAGTGTTTTTTGAAAATATGTAAAGGTAGATGGTAAAATTTTCATAATATATAAATAAAAGCATCCAAAATGATTTGAGATCAAAGCCCTTAAGCAAAATTGCATCTCTTTTCAGTATAAAATGGGACGGAAACCTTATGAAGAATACTCGCATGTTGAAGGAGTGTTTCTAGAGTGAGTACTTAAAGTCTTTACTCACCAGATTATCGAAGCGCAAGGCATCTTCGTCGCTCAGTCCCATGCTGCGCGTCAGCTGCAAGTAGGTGGAGGTAATGGGCTTCAATCGCTCCAAATCGAGTGGTGGCAGCGGCAAGGAAAGCTCCACATGCGGCATGCCACGTAGCTGGGGAATGCGAAGCTCTGGCAGCGACTTGGGCGGACTGGGTAGCTCCAGCTTCAGCGGTGGCTGTACGGCCACTGGTGTCGAAGTCGATGCTGGATTGCTGTTCTTCGGGCTGCAAAATAGAGATTTCGTTAGATTGATCGGTGTATGGGTCACTTGGGGAACGGTAGGCGTGGCCACCGAGGCCATCGGTGAGCGTGCCCGAGACAAGCTATCTGGCGAGGTCTTGAAGGTGGTAATGGAAGCGGACGGAGTCGTCGGCAATGGGGAGGATGCCCTGGGAGGTGCCGAACTCTTGCTCTGTGCTGCGGTGGTTGCTGTGCTCGTGGAAATGGTAGTGGTAGGGGTAGAGGTAGGGGTAGGGGCTGGGGTAGTAGTGGTGGTTGGAAAACTGAGACTTTGCAAGAGGCTGCTGCCGTAGAGGGGCGGCGCTAGAACCGGTTCATGGAGCACCGAGCCACCGGCATAGAAACGTCTCATAAAGTCGTAGTACTGAAGGAGATTGTCCCGTGACTTGAGAAGCTGCACATTAAAGCTCTGGGGCTGTCCCTGGCTGGGCATGGGGTTCGGGTTGGGATTGGGATGAGGATTGGGGTTGTTGGGCTGCTCGGAGGTCAAAACAGCCGGCTCCGTCCTGGGAACTACTCCTGGTGGACTCAACGGACGCTGCAACTGTGTCTTGACTCGTATCTTGGGCACGCTAACCGGTGTGGTCTCGACAGCCGCCTGTGTACGGGGCTGTATCGCGGTGGGACTGGGCGGAGGGGCCCCGAGAACATCAAGCTGTGTGGCACTACAACTGCTGGCAGCGGCGCCCACACCGGGCACGGGCACTGAACCCTTGAGATCGGCACTTGAGTGGCGCCGACGTTTGGCCGTGGGTCCCGCCTCCAAAGAGCTCTCCGTATGCGATGAATAATTCAGATAGTTCTCCACTTCCGAGGAGCTCTCATTGCCGGCCAGCTCTGCGTCCTTGCATCCACCCGTCGGCGAGGAGGGTCTGAGGTTCTTCTTGCACTCGGGGCAGATGGTAAGGAAGCGGGTGACAGCCTCGCGCGGCAGGAATGCGTAGGTTTCCGTAATCTAGTGGAAGGAACAGAAATACAATGTATAAGTTGGCTTATCTTTGCATGGGTTTCCAAGTTCAGAACTAAGATCTTCCTGTACACTACACTCACAATTCGGTAGGTGCGCTTTTGACCCGCATGCATGCCACTGCGTCCGCCCAGCTCCATGTGCACGTTGTAGATGATGTCGAAGAACTCCTCCACACAGGCCACCTTGCGATAGATCCGACGACCGAATCCCTTGCTCGTCGAAGCGGCAAACAGGTCCACTTCGCCAGGGTTGTCCGAAAGAACTGCGGACGCGGGAAGAGGCTTCAGACGTCGTCGACTGCCCGCAGCCTCTTCATAGCCGTCGGGACGATTTGTGGTGAAACCTGCACACAAAAAAGGAAGTGAGTCAAGTGTTGATTTCCAGGAAGCAGCTCCTTCGACTCTCACCCTTTGTCTTCACCCAAAAGCGAAATTTTGAGCTATCTGGGCGACTGTGCTCCTTGCCCTCCAGTGCCTTGAGGATACGCGCCTTTTTGCGCAGCGTTATCGTCTTGGTCTTTGCCTGATCGCCGTAGGTGGTGAGGGCCCAGGGCTGGAACAGCTCGTAGATGATGTCACGCTGACCCACGTGCTGCTCCAGCTCGTCCACATCCGCATCATAGGCCGTCTCCGCCTCCACCTCACCCACAGTCACCGGAGAGCTCTCTTCGCGCTCATCGATGGCATACAGCTTCCGCTTTCCACTCCAGCTCTCTGCCAAGGAAGGCATCGCCGAGGCTACCGAGGACTGCGCTTGTGGTGGAGGAGGTTCGAGCTGGTCTAGGCTGTGCTTACGACTACCATTAGACTGTTCCATGATCGACATGCACTGGGTACTAACTCAATCGAAATTAAATATTTTGGCACGACTCTAACAATCAGATGAAAGTCCAAGAGATAATGGATAGCATTGGGCAAGAATGGTTAAGATGAGATGTGTAATTAGAATTTTTATGGTTGTTCTCTGCTAAGTTGTGTTCTTTCTATTCTTCGTTTGGTGGGATTTCGGGGGTTCTGAAAGGGAGAAGGTCACAGATTAATTTTAAATCAAATACATTCCTGTGTACTACATTGAAACCTTTTACAATCACAAAAAAAATCAGTATAATTTGAATTTGTGACCTGCATAGCATAGAAAAGTAACTTCCAACATGCTATTATATTTTCTTTCAATTAAAAATCAAATACAATAAAAATACAACAATTATTTTATATTATTGTGAATATCATCTGATAAATGTTTTTAGAAATAAAAGATGGCATATGCATAAATTAAGTATATACTTATATAAAATACCGACAATTTTAGTTTTTGTTGTCCATTTTCTGAAGCTATAAATTCCGATGTTCTCTAAATAAATTTCATTTTCCAATTTGAAGTTTTTGTAGAAATAATAAACAGAAGGATATTTCACAAGAGACTTTGCCACTTTGTGGGGATGAAACCAAGTTCAAAATTGTAAAGACACATTAAAACATTTTTAAATATTTATAAATACTCCAGTGGTCTGCACTTTACGGGACACATTCACAATCTTAAAATATAAATGTTGTTTTATACTCGTTCTAATCACTTGTCAACATACTTCTGATTTAAATTTGTATTTAAATATCTCCACAGAACATCAGCATAAACACAAATTTGGTATTAACGAAAACGATTTAACAAAGAGTTAACGAAAAGAGTTTTTTAATATTATCAAAATTAACAGAAATCCCACAAAAACGAAAAACAAACGTCGAAACTTATCGGCTCAACAAAAAACTAAAGCCGAAAAGGTTCAACTTAACAACAGCGAACGCGACGCGACCGAAATGAAAGTTCAAACTAAACTGACGGACCAACTGATCATGGTTGTGCCGAACACGTCTTGAAAGGATGGATGCTGTTGACCATTCGAGAACGGAACGACTTCAGGTCCAGGCGAAGACAGGCTGCCAGATACAAACCGGTTACTTCTGCGAGCATCTTTGAACTTTGTACGTCCAAGTCAACGGAGGCCAGCCTGCCAAAAGGGGGTAGGGAACGGGAACTGGCTTCTCGCCTCGCACGTACATATGTATCTTGTTGTAAAAGTATCTCCCAAATCAGTCGAGCAAATATCCAAGTTCCTACCTCAATAAGTGGCGCAATCGAAGGGCAACCAACCCGACGAATGTCGAGCAGCTTTGCCCAACCCAACGCCCAGCCGCCCCTAACTCGCGGCATGGATGTTTTTCATTTTTGCTTAGCATATTTCCCGGCTGCTACGGAGCTCGCGAGAGCCGGCAAAATATGTTCGCTCATTTTTCTTGCCCTCCCGCGCCCAATACAAGACGATGATGACGTTTAGATGCCGGCTCTACCCTGTCAACATCCCCCAAATGGCCGCCTGTTGCGCCTTTTCCGCCTCTCCGCCTTAGTATGCATTGTTTTGTTAGCGTTGCCCTGTTTTGTGGCATCAAATGTTGCATCACACAAAAAAGTGCTGTTGGCATATGCAAGTTGAGTACTTTTCTTGAGGGGAAATGAAAGGAGGAAAAAACGTCGTCTGTCTATAAACGGGTAGAGACTCCACCGGGTCACGTAATATGTGTACGCTGATAGAGCATTAAATTGAGCTCAAAAGCAGGCTTTGAAAAGTTTAACATATTTCAATTCGGGTCTGGGACTCCAGCATTGGATTCGATTGTCTTGGAAGGTGGTGGGTTTAATATCTACTTAAGGGTTACTTCCTTCTTTTCAATTTCATTGCTTTTGTTGTCTATCTTGGCATTGTCCAAAATTATCTTGTCTTGCTATTGGCTATCTCTGTCCTAAAACTTGCTTTTTCTGAGACGCCCCTTCGCTTCCCTTGTTTGCCTCTTTTCACGTGACTTCTGTCTGCATCTCTATATCTGAAATGCCGTTGTCCGAGAGTTTAGCTTAATTACTGGACTGGACACGTAAAGCTGCTGAAACTAACAAAAAAACTGGTTGATCTTCGACCGCCAAAATGGACAACTGGCATTTGTCTGAATTATTATTATAATATTAAGGCAGCCGCTCTTTTGAATGCTTAACTTGAGATATGCAAAGAAAGTTTCCTTAATAAAAACAAACGGTAGAATTAATAGGAAAAGGGTAATTCAATTAGAAAATATGCGAGATATAGTTGTAGTTTTTTTTATTATTGTTTAATTTTCACAAATAACTATAAAAAACCTATCTGACCCATTGCATGTTAATTTAATACATTTAATACAAACTCGCTGCCTTAGTGGGCGATTCGGTGGGACTTGCCGAGGAGACTGTTAATCTCATCCAGCTCTTACGCTCCGCAACCGACTGACTGTGCAGCAGCTCATTAGTGGACGTGCTCTCATCGCTTATGCATTGAAATTGGCAGTCACTTGTGAAAAAATCAATGCATGTCTGAGTAATCGATGTCCTAATGGAATATCTAAGCTAATACTGACGAGGTGGGGGCCATTCATTGGCAAGCCGCATGAGGCTAAATGGTGACTCCCTTCTAGGACAATTACCGAAGCAACTTATAGACAAACAATGGATGGCTTTTGGCCATTTGGTGAGCTAATGTTTGGCCGCCTGGCCTGCTGGAATGGAGTTGCTCCGTGGCATTTGGCATTTGGTTAGCAATTAAGCAACTGGCCAAATAGCATGAATAAATCGAGCTACTACCGGCTGAGTAGTTGATCCAAGGAGTGCGCCTGGTTCCATCCGTAAGGAGGAGGACCAGAAGTGCAGCATCTGCGGCAGGACATTAAATTCAAACAAGTTTCGTTTCGGGTTCGATAGCCGGAGAAAAGATTCTCACGCTCGATCCCAGCATCAGCATCAGCATCTGTGGCAGGACATGGAACTTTTATAAGAAATCCCTCTGGTGTTTTGCAGAATTTTCACATCAAAATTTCAACAGATTCGAGCCCAGAACTCCAGCGACCGACCCAGGCCGGTTTTCCAAACTGGACAACAGCATCAACTGACGCTGAACTTTGACACTCATTCCGGCCAAGATGAGCATCAACCCTTCCTTTCACTTCCTTCATGCGAGCAACCAGTTTTCTCTGTCGGTCAAGCCCCAGCCTCCGCTGGTCACTTGGTCTCGGGCTTTCTGATCCTCGGGGTGTGTTTCTTTTGCTTGATGATCTGCATATGATTTGGCCCGCATGACTGTCTTTTCCTTTGGTTTTCGGCAAGATAATGTCCAGTTTTGGTTACCTTCTTTGTCTGCCGTTGAATTGCTTGGCATTTCGCTGATCTCCCTGATGATGCTGTGCCAAAGGACACCAATAAAAACTCTACACATCTCTCATCTATGAGAGTTTTTTTTCGGAAATTTTTAGATAAAAGCCAAGAGCTCACTCAGACCGGTTATATTTTCGATGGCCTGTTTCCGTGCTGTACTTTTTGGTTATTTTTAAGGTTTTTCTGTTGATTGAACTATGGGAATTGACCTCAAAAAACTATGCTGAAAATAAAAGGCGGAAAATAAAATTAGATCTTGAACTAACTTCAATAAGTTGAACGTTTTTAGCTTGATCTACGATTTTAAAACAAAACTAAGCAGAGCAACCAGATAAGCCTAACCAAAATTTTAACAAAAGTACAAACAATTTCCAGCGTTTTCCATTTGCACTCAATTAATAATAATCGATATTGAAATAACGGAAGGAAATATTCTTTAAACTATTAAATTTGTTGTGAATTCTAGAGATTTAAAATGTGGAAAAAAGGACAGATTTTATAAAACTTTTTACTGAAACCAATGCAGAGTGGGATTCCGAGGGGGAGTTGCAGTGGGGAAAACTGATTCGTTGCTGCCTCGTGGCAGGAAGGCAGGCAGATAATGAGGCTGCAGCAAAGGGTTTTGTGAGGGGGCAGTGGAGTGGCAAAGAAGGCGCAATTTTACGCACAAAAAAAGATAAATGTATGCCCGAGGAAAGGGATAGCGGTTGGTGGTGGTGGTGGGTAGATTGCTGCTCGAACAGAAGGTGGCTGGGGGTGGAGGCTTAACAACGCAACATAAATTAACGCATATTTCAGTTGCAATTTAAAAAGCGCACAAAGCGAACGGAACTGCTGCGGACATCGACGACGATGTCGACGCTGGCTTTGCTGCCAGAGTTTCAGTCATTTGTTGCTGCTTTTGTTGCTATCATTAACATTTTTGTTGTTGTCAAAAGTGCCAGCACAGCGCATTATTGCTGCTGCCATCGCATCAGCCGCTGCTGCTGCTGCTGCCGTCGCTGTTGCACGCACAAAAAACGAGTAAAACAGACAACGCCCCAAATGCTGGAAAAAATCACCCAAACTCCTGTAAGGATGCATCGATGCGCCTAAAAGTATGCAACGCATTGGCTGCCCATCTGTCTGACTGCCCCTGCAACCCAATCGGTTACCCACCCACCCACAACACACACACATGCACAGGCAGAGACTCCACTCCACTCCCCATCCTGCAACTCCTGTTGATGTACATTATTTACCTCTTGTTCGTTTTTTTCCATGGCTGTGTTTTTTACAAGTTTTATTGCATGCGTGCGCGAATGAAAAATAAAATATATAAAAATATATACCGGTACCGCTCCAACTCGTCGCCGATGCCATAGCCGATGTCGACGCCAGCGCCAACGTCGCCAACGACGACGCCGACAGCACGCACACATTGTGCTGCCCTCCACCATTGGCCTCGTGCCGGCGACCGCTTAAAAAATGAACAAAAAGCAAGAGAGATGCCCAAATGTGGAAACGCGTGCAAGCAAACGGGCCGGAGCGATTGCACAATGCTGTCCCAACGCTGTCCGGCCCCAGGATCAGGGTACGTACATAGGTGC